CCTGCATGGTGTGCAGGCAGTCGGCTGCAGGCAGCTGCCCGGGCACGTCTGGGCAGCCGGGTGTTTTTGGAGTGGGGCGTTGGAGCCAGACAGCGCCCCGGAGCCTCGCCCTCCCTGGGAGCATCCCGGGACAGGTTTTTGGGAGGGCCAGGTCACCGCGGGAGCGCTCCCCCAGTACCCGGCTCAGTACCTCTGCCCCTGCCCTGGGGACACCGGGGACGGGGCAGGGACGGAGGAATGGTGTTTGGGAACAGAGGGACAGGAGGGTGCTGGCACTGACTCCACCCTCACCTCCCACAGAGGCTCAGGGATGGGCCCCCACTTGAGCCGCTTCGAGGACCCCCCTGGAGCTAAATGGTAACCGCCAACGAGCAAAAAAACGAGCTCAGAGGCTAAATCCTCCCTGGACGTGCTGGGTGGAGGCGGTTGCAGGTGCCCCGCAGTGCCCCAGGAGCAGCGAGGCTGGGGCTCAGTGCGGCTCAGGCAGCCCCAGGCACAGGCACCCCAAGAGCCAGGCGCCCCCTCAAACCCTGCCATCATCTTGGTGGGTGCTAATTCCTAGCGTTTAATTACAGCCCCTTGCCACATCAAGGCTGCACCCAGCTTTGCAGTGGGGGAATCGCCCCTGCGCTACCTGCCCTGACCCAGGGCGAGTCACCGCCTGCTCCTGCCTCAGTTTCCCCAGCTGTGGGCTCGGCAGAGCAGCTCTGCCGGACGAGGGTGGCTTTCCAAAGGGACTTGGGGACTCGAGGGGGAAGCTCTGGCTGTGCCCAGCATCACTTTGTTCCCTGCTGCCCGCGGGCAGAGGGATGGATGCTGCCCGCACCCGGATCTCCCTGCATGTCTCTGCAGGCGGCAGCTCAGGGCAAGGAGCCGGGCCCATCGGCTGCGCCCTGCCAGCGGGTCCCCACACTGAAGTCTGGGGGGTCATACCCACTTGCATTGGGCAACCGGTGGTCCCTGGGGTGAGGGGGTCCCCCCAGCACTGGAGCAGCAGCCCAGGAAGACTGTCCCCACTGCTCTCAGATGAAAGTAGATATTAGGGAATGGCTCTTGCCAGGGCTGAGCTCCAGGACAGACCCCCACTCTACTGCACCGCCGATCCGCCCCGTGCCCTCCCACCATCCGGGCATCCCCACAGCACAGGCAGCGTGCCCACCCTGGGCAGTTCCACTGCCCACCCTGCCCTGCTCTGGCTGCGGTTGACGATGGGTCCCCGGCCCTGGCCCGGTGGGGAGGGGGGTTTCCTGGCCAGCCGGTCACCGGACCCTGGCAAAGTCTTGCAGCCGGGGACCGCTCAGCTACCAAATGTTGCCATCTGCCTCTGGGGCCTTCGCTCGCATCTGCCAGGGGTGCGGAGGGGCGAGGGGCCGGGGGGCCGGGGGCTCAGCTGCAGCACGGGGAGGGGGCGGAGGAGGCACAGCCGCCACAGGCAGGGCAGGCAGCACGTGTCGGGTGAATTTGGGTGAGGAGAGTGAAGCGGCGACATAAGGGTCCTGCACCCAGCACCCCCTTGGGCTCCCCTTCACCACAACCATTTGCTCTCGGGAAGGGTCTCACCACTGGCTCCGCTGCTGCTTTGTGCTGTCAAATTAAACACAGGAAAATCACCATCCCAACCCCGTCCTCTCCATGTCCCCCTCCCCGTGGACACACAGGGACCTCAGCGGCCCTGGGGCCAGCCTGAGCCCCCCCCAAATGGTTTCCCCCACCATCTTGTACCTGCTCCTCCCCTCCCAGGTCCCCTTGGGCTCCTGTACTCCTTTTGACTGGGACAGAGTTAATCTTCTGCATAGGAGCTGGTACGGGGCTGTTTTGGATTTGTGCTGAAAACAGTGTTGATAACCCAGGGATGTTTTAGTTATCGCTGAGCAGAGCTTCCACAGCATCAAGGCCCTTTCTGCTCCTCATACCATCCCACCAGCGAGGGGTCTGGGGGTGCAAAAGGAGCCGGGACAGGACACGGATGGGACCCCACTGACCAAGGGATATCCCATCCATAGGACGTCCTGCTCAGCAATAAAAGCTGGGGGAGAAGAAGGAAGGAGGGGGACATTCATAGTGATGGCATTTGCCTTCCCAAGTGACAGTTCTGCGTGCTGGAGCCCAGCTGTCCTGGGGATGGCAGAACATTTGCCTGCCATGGGCAGCAGTGAAGGAATGCCTGATTTTGCTTCACTCGTGCACGCGGCTTTTGCTTTCCCTCTGAAACTGTCTTTATCTCAACCCACCAGTTTTCTCCTTTTTACCCTTCCCATTCTCTCCCTCATCCCATGGGAGAAGGGGACGGGGGTGAGCAAGCAGCTGGGTAGAGCTGAGGTGTCTGCTGGGGTTAAACCACGGCAGCACCTCAAACCATGCCCCGCCACAGGCACTCAGATGTGCCAGTGCTGTCCCTCCAGTCCCAGAGGCACAGCGGGTGCAGAGGAGGCCATGAAGATGCTCCAAGGGCTGGAGCACCTCTGCTATGAAGACAGGCTGAGAGACCTGGGGTTGTTGAGCCTGGAGAAGAGAAGGCTCCAGGGAGACCTTATAGCAGCCTCCAGTATCTGAAGGGCACCTACAAGAAAGCTGGAGAGGGGCTTTTCACAAGGGCATGGAGTGATAGGATGAGGGGGAATGGCTTCAAACTGGAAGAGGGGAGACTTAGGTTAGGTATCAGGAAGAAATTCTTTCCTGTGAGGGTGGTGAGCCCCTGGCGCAGGTTGCCCCGAGAATCTGTGGCTGCCCCATCCCTGGAGGTGTTCAAGGCCAGGTTGGACGGGGCTTGGAGCAACCTGGGCTGGTGGGAGGTGTCCCTGCCTGTGGCAAGGGGGTCAGAACTAGGTGATCTTTAAGGTCCCTTCCAACTCTAACCATTCTATGATCGTATGATTGTCCCCACCACAACCCCATGGTTGGGGCAGGGATGGAGCCAGGAGCAGGGCGGGGAGCAGGGAGCAGCTGAAGCCCCCAGAGTTGAGGGCACATGAAGGGAGGGCAGGCAGGGCAGGCAGGGCACTGGAGAAGGCAGCCCCAGGTTTTGCAGGGCTGCAGCCCGCTCTCCCAGCGACACCCGGTGGGTGCTGGGGGAAGAACCACCATGAGGCATCCCCGGGGCGGTGGGTGCTGGGATGGGATGGGATGGGATGGGATGGGATGGGATGAGGGGGACAGGGGGTTGTGCTGCTGGTGGTGATCTGTCCTCTGTCCCCTATGTCACCTCCCGGCCAGTGCAAGGGACTCATCCACCGGCTCACAGCTCGGCTTATTGTCTGGTCCCGTCTCACTTGGGTGGTCAGAGGTCCCCGGCCCTGCAGTGCACCCAAGGTGGGACAGCCACCAGGTTCAGGGGTCCCTGAGGACCCTGTCCCAGCCCGTGACCCTGCAGAGCTCCCCAGTGGGGGAAAGACACTGTCACTGGGTGACATTCGCACCTACAAGAAGCAGCCTGAAATAGGTGGGATGCAGTTCAGCTGCATCAGGGGACAAGTGCAAAGTACAGGACGCTGCTAAGAATAATCACCGGCACCCAGCCAAGCCAGGGTTGTCCAGGATAGCGGTGACACTGCGGCGACCGCCCGGTGCCACGGTCGGACAGGCAGGAGGCATGGGGCTGTCTCTGGTGCCAGAGGTAAGTGGGGACGGAGGGTAGCGGTGGCCCCCGGTGCAGGGCAGAGGCTGGGCTGTCCCCGGGCTGGCAGGGAGAGAGCAGGAGGTGGTCAGAAGTTGGAGGTGGTCAGAAGCTGGAGATGGCACAGTTGGACTTTGGCCACCGACACAGAGTGCGGAGCTGAAAGGCCTCACCCGGCGCTCAGGGTCAGGCTGCCGGCGGTACAGCGGCCAAAGCGGGGGACCCACTGGGAGGGGGGGCATGAGCGGGGGGGGTCCTGAGCCCCTGCCCCCTCTGGCTGTGCCCCGTGTGCCAACCCCAGCCCTTGCTCTGCCCCAGTGGGGGGGAGAGCTGGGACCAGATCTGGTCCCTCTGGCCCCCGGGAACTTGTCCCTGTGGTCACAAGGGTCCCTTTGGGAGTGAGACCGCCCCGCGCATCGCTCCAAGGACTTCAAAGCTTTTCCTTACGCTTTCATATCGCTTTTATCTCATCACACACAGCGCCGGCAGCCAACCATCCCTGCGGCTCATGTGTCCCCCCCGGGACACGCTGGGACCCGCCCACCCAGGACAGGATCTCTGAAAAGCAGCTTTGGACCCCGCTGCTGAGCACGTGGCAGGAGGGTGCGGGGTCCCCCCGGCCGCCCCCCGACCCGGGGACTCCGCCAGTTTGGAGCAGGACGAGGAGCAGAGCAGGGCCAGGCCGTTACCCGTCTGCATCCGGAGGTGGTGACGCGCCTGCCTCACGTCACTGCCCTGGCAGCCAGGACTCGCTCCCGCCCGCGTGCTGCTGCCGGTTCCCCAAAGCGCAGTGAGTTCCCCCTTGGGAGATTGCCGAGGAACCGGTCAGACCGGGAACCCGCTTCCTTCCTGGCTCTTGCTCCCTACCGGAGCGCCCAACGCCTCCCCGTGGGGCCGGAGCCATG